ATTCTTGGCGGGTAGTTAGCTAATTCCGATTCAATTCACTGAATAATTTTAGGACTGATTGATATGAAGTTAAACATTTAATAAGCGATCACAATTAAGTATGACACATAGAGAAAAAAGAACAAGATCGAGAATTAATATGATCGTACTTCGATCCAGATCGAGAGATTTCAAGAAATCTGTGGAATAAATCACTTCACATAAATGCTTTATTTAAAAAAAGGTATGTAAAGTACATTGTAATATTTATTTTTAAATCAATTGTTACAAAACATTCATTTTCCTTTTCTTTTGACGGACTCATATAATCGCGTGTGGACTAGTAAAAGTAAAGAAGCACTAGTCCGGTCGGATTAATGCCTAAAAATATTAGTGTCGAACCCTATAAAATATTTTTTTCCCTCTCATATGCATGCAGATAGGGAACAGATATACATTGTAGTTTTCATCCTAAACACATTTGGCAACCAAAAGACAACTACCAGGCCTTGTTAAATTTTACCAACTTCATTGTCCAGGAATAGGGGGAGTGGTTATGTTCACCAAATTATTTTCAAAACTTCAGTTCTCTTGCAAAAATTTATACTCCGTAAATGAAAAAAAGAAGAAAAAGCTGTTTATAAGCTTATCAAGTGAGACTTTTAATTCTTAATTTTAGTGGGCTTATTATGACCCTGAAGGAATTCCATGGATTTTTGGACCACTAGGACAGCTGGGTACTTACCTGGGGAAGAACTACCCCACTGTTATCAAGAATATGTAAGTACACAGTAATGTAAAGCAGTCACCAATTCAATGGCTCTACAGGCTCGCTGTAGCTTAACTTGAACAATCTAATATGTAAAAATTACCCCACTTTTATCAAGAAAAGGTAATCTCTTGTATAATCAATAAAAAAATTACCCCACTGTTATCAAAAGTATGCAAGTACAATCAATGCAAATATCATCTCACTGATAAGTACAATTAATGTATATACAGTGGAGCCGTGGTATCTCAAACACCAATATCACGAATACCATGGATATGTCTAAGTAATTTGGAAGTCCCAACTACTTTTTAAGAATTTTTATCCTTGATATCTCAAATCCTCTGATATCTCAAAGTTTTTTCTCAGTCCCATCAAGTTTGAGATAACAAGGTTTGACTGTAAACCCCCCCCCCCCCCCCCCCCCCCGGTATCAGAATATGTAACTATGTAACTAAGGAAAATTCCTATTTACTGTAATTAATGTATGATAATGAAAAACTTTTATCCTTCATGAAATATTTGTAGTGTAGCACAATCCCAATTATTTAATGTACTTATATTTATCGCCTACATTGCTTGTTTTTTCAGTGGAAAGGCTGTCCAAAGTTAATTCTATATTTAGCATCATCCATGCCCATAGGTTTTGGATAAAGTGACACTTTGAAAATACAAACAAATCAATATTTTTAGCTCATCTGAACTGAGAGCTCAAGTAAGCTTTTCTTAGCATCCATTGTTTGGCCGTCCGTCTGTAAACTTTTCAACTTCTAAGAACCACTGGGACAATTTTAACCAAAGTTGGTACAAAGCATCCCCAGGTAAAGGGGATTCTAAAGTATTAAAATAAAGGACCAAGCCCCTTTCCAAGGGGGAGATAATCAAGAAAATGCAAAATAGAGTGGGGTCATTAAAAAATCTTAACAAGAACCACTGGGGAAAAAAATGAAACTTATGTGGAAGCTTTCTGAGGTAGTGTAGATTCTAAATCGTTCAAATCATAGCCTCCGGGAATAGGGTGGGACCACAATAAGGCATCAAAGTTTTAATTGAAATATATAGGAAAAATCTGATGATGAAGAACCACTGGGCCAGAAAAGCTAAAACTTGAGTAATGTAGATTGTAAATTGTTCAGATCATGGCCCCCAAGAGTAGGGTGGGCCCACAATAGGATATCGAAGTTTTACATCTAAATATATAAAAAAAATCTGAAAATCTTCTCAAGAACCACTGTACCAGAAAAGCTAATGAAAAAGCTTTTTTGGGATAGTGTAGATTGTAAATTCTTCAAATTGTGTCCCCTGGGGGTAGGGTGGGGCCACAATAGGGATTATTTAGGGGAAAAAAACCTTTAAAACTGCTTTTCTCAAGAAAAGCAAAGCCATGCTGAATCATCTTTATGTGGAAGCATCCCTGGTAGTGTAGATTCATTTTTGTTAAAATCACAACCTCAGTATGTAGGGTGGGGCCACAAGAGGTGATAAAAAATACATAGGAATCATATATATATATATTGGGAAATGTTCAATGCAGAATAGCACAGCCAAAGTGACTCAGGTGAGTGTTTTGGCCCATGGGCATCTCGTATCAAATGTTCTGTTCCAGTTTTCTTTCACTTTAAGCAACTAAAGATAGATTTTGTACAAATAAACACCATTTATGCCCTGTATGAGGTATACTTGGGATGAGTCTATCATTTAAACTGACTTACTGACAGATTTACTAAAAATGATTATTGAAAAATAAGCCTGCATTATGCACAAATGTACACATTATTTTGATCCATGTAAATTAGTTAATACTCATTTGTTTGAAATTTTTGTTTGTTTAATTTTTTTATCCCTCCCTCAGAGGTTTTGAAGTTTTAAAGTGAATGTTAAATGTAGAATCAATGTAGAGCCTAACCCGAGAGATGAAATCGACAAACACCTTTTTTCAGAAATCATGACTATGTTCATGTTGTTACCAAGCTATGGTAATAAGAGAGAGAGAGAGAGAATGTTTCATATGTTTGAATAAAAGGAAATGAAACTTTGAGGGCTTAAATAAGTTCATACATGTATTTAATTTTACATTTGTAAGATCTTTCTGAGAGCTGACTTTATTTTCTACAGGTTCTATGTGACATTTGCTATGCATGTGGGAGAGGCAGTCTATTCTGTAAAGGTCTGCAGGTATGTGGAACTAGGAGGGCAGGTATAATGCAGTTACTAATTTCTTTTTACATCATCATACTGCAAGAAATCGAGACAGCAATAGTTCAATCATGTGACTGGCTCATGGAATACTTAGCAAGAGTTATCTAACTTTGCAGAGAATGAACGTACACATGTATTTAAAAGGGAAACTGAATGCGTGAGTTTTCAGAATTTCTCATGCATGTTGTGTGCAAGATGATAAGTTAAACACAGCTATTATACAGTATATAAAATATATGTATTTTAAATAATATCAATATAATGTTTATATATTTTGTTTGCAACATTTAAGTACATTTTTGAATGCATTGCTATGTACATGTACACATTTTCTTTTCAGGAATAAAAACCTCAGTTCTTCTGCAACCATGAAATGGTGCTTCCAGACATTTCTGTTTGGTTTTGCGTCCCTTCTGCGACTTAAAAATGCCAGAAAGGTCAAGGTCAGCTGATGAAGGTCAAAGTCCATTGAATGCTTAATTTATGACAACACCTCAAATCAATTGCTCAGGCTACAAATCTTGAAATGAAAATATGGAAACATGTGTGATTCACTGTGATCTTTTATAATATATCTGATGAACAATCTATAAATTGTGTAAATGTGTATAATTTTGCAGCACACTCTATACAGTTTGTTCTATTGCAATGGGACATAAAAGAACGTGAAAAATGAGTGAAAAAAATGGACGATAACAATCTTTATTTGAAAGAAATCTTCACATCTAGGCAAAAGTTGTAATAATATATGTCTGATATACATCACAAGAGTCTATACATGTACCATAGAGTATCTGCAGAAGAATTTGATTTTAGTTGATTGAAATATTACACTAAAGGCACTGAGTAGGCAACAATGTTTACAGACTTGAGTTTACTGTATTCATTAATAGATAAAAATTTTATTTTTATGAATATAAATTGATTGATAAATAGTCAATCTTCATTATCTCTCTCTCAAAGAGACTGAAAAAAAAACCTTTTGAGATATCTGGCGACCGAGGATTCGAGATATCGAATTAAAATACATATTAAAGGGAAAGTGGTCGGGACTACCAACTCACTTTAACATCTCTATGGTATTTGAAATACATGTACCAATGTTTGAGACACTGAAGTTCCACAGTATTTTCTGGGCAACATTTTAGCACTTTGTATTCTGTAAACTTATTCATGCACTAACAAGGCACATGTAAGAAGGTACTGAAGGTGGTATGGTATCTTTTGTAATGGTGGTAGTGTCATTGACATACTACTATGGGATCAGTTTCCATTAAAATACATCACATGAAGTAGTTATTTCCCTTTAGCAATGCAGTGGTGGAGGAGTTGACCACAGCAATCTGTTCAGGTTTAAACATTCACTTTGTTTATTTTTCATTTCATCAGCTTAATATATGACATTTATCATTACTGTTAGTCTTTGTATGCAAAATGTTGTTACATGGAATTATGTGGGTAAAATACAAGCAAAGGGGCAGACTACTGAAACCCACATATAGCCATGCTAATCAGAAAGTACACAATGTGAAAAGAATAAATGTTTACACAGGAGAATACAGAGCATTTCATGATTTGACCCACTAAATTTGGTAAAATTTAATGTAATACAGTGTAGCTAGATATTGGAAAATGTTTGCAAAGTGTAGAACTTCAATGATATGGATGGTGGAGGGGAAATCTGATGTTTAAGTAGAACATGCATATAGCTTTTCTGGTTTGTACGGTTTGAGCTGGGGAGTCATATGGTAAATAATAAGGATGTTGCTAATTAAAGAATATATAAAAATGGAGAGAAGTATCTTTACATCCTTCACCTAATTTTTTCCAAAATTTTGATACTTTTCTATAAACATTCAAATTGATAAAATTTCAATGGTAAGTATGAAAATTCAACATGCCGCACCCAAATCTGCTTTGTTATTTTTAGGAAAACAATCCTCCCTTTTTAAATTTCTTTTTGAATTTTAAAAATTCTGAATCAGTAAAACAACAATAAATAAGATTCAAGTTTCTTTAATATGCCCAACTTGACAGTATGTAATGACCACATATAATGATATACCGGTAGATAGATGTTCTAATATACTATATACATGTACCGGTAGTCCGGTACATGTACTTTAATTGAGAGACATCACTAATTAAGATGCATTTAGTAGACTTTTCAAATAGCCATTATACTGCTGCCATAGGCATATATCTAACGTTTTTTCTTATGGATTTTTTTCCTGTGTTTATAAAGAGCACTGGAGTCGCAGTACCGATTTCCACACAGCTCACATATAAACTTCCGCTCTCCCGTGTGAGACGTGAGATGTCTCAGTAAATGAGATTGACAAGTCCACGACTTCCCACATAATTCACAATCCCAGGATTTCTTACCAACACATAACTTCCCATTCTTGTGAACATTCTTCAAATGATTGGTCATGTTGGAGTGTCGACTGAATTTCTTGTTGCAGATCTTGCAGCTGTAAGGCTGATCACCCGTGTGAACGGTCCGATGCTGCGATAATTGAGCTGGAGATTTAAAAACTTTATCACAAAGGTCACAACTGTGAGGTTTTTCACCCGAATGAATTCTGGAATGATTGGTCAGTTTGTACCGTCGTGCAAATGACTTTCCGCAAATGTCACATTTGTGAGGTTTTTCCTCCAAATGTGTGATCATATGTCTCTTCATACTACAGTACTGAATAAAACCTTGTCCACAAACTGGACAAATATGATCCCTTTCCCCTAAATGTATCCTCATGTGAGTTTCTAATACTTGTTTGAGGGGGTAACTTTTGTGGCAGACACCACACGTGTATGGCTTGTCCTTGGTGTGTACTGTAAGGTGCTTTTTTAATGCGTGGGATTGTCGGAAGCCCTGCTCACAGTAATCACATTTATAAGGTAGCTCGCCTGTATGAATCAGCATGTGACTTGATAAATGGGATTTCTGTTTGAAAGCTTTGTTACATACTTCACATATGTAGGGTCTCTCACATTTTCTTCCACATTGTTCACTTATCTTTATTGTAATGGTAGTTTTATTTACATCCTCATCACAAAGTCCTTCCTTCTCATTAATTTCATAATCTACCTCATAAAGTTCATGATCCACCTCACGTATTTCATCATCCTTCAGCTTGATGTTGGTAATTGAGTGACTCTGATTTTCAGTACCTCCATCAACTTGAATATATTTGTCAATCATTTCATGACCATTGTCCTCTCTAAACTTTTCTTGCCCATTTATCTTTGTGCTGACATCCATCTCCACTTCATCATCCTTAATTCTGAAATATATAATAATTATAAATATTTCTGTGACATTTAATTAAACTATACATACTGTGTGAGATGAATGCATGCTTTTACATGGAGTCCTTGTTTAGTTTTATATAAATTCGAAATATATTTATGATTAGGAAATACAATGTAAATTGCTTCAGGGCTTAGGGCCCACATCAATGTGTCAGGGTCTATAATAAAACTTGAAAAGGCCAAAATGGGGGGAAACACTTTTTCTTAAAATAACATCAAAGAGACGCAGCTTTTGTGTATTAACGTGAAAATATCAGGTTTGGCACATCTTCGTCTTTTATCAGCACCGTATGCCAAGGGTTTATGAGGAGAGTAGTGTATCAGAAACCCTTGGCTAGCGAAGATGGGTTTGGCACAGCCTACCAAATGGTGGTTAAACCCCCGTCTGGTCATCAATTACCCATATCGGCATCGGTATTAACTGATCTGATATGGGAGAGAAAAATCTTTTAGTATTTAAAAAATTAAACCAGAGACTTCCGAGTATTCCATTCTGAGGTCTCTGGTTTTATCTTACATTTATAACCCCAATCAAAAGTTTTGTATCCCACGTAGTCTTAATATGTATCGAGGTAATTTTCGAGGATTAAATGAGTGGTTTACAATAAAGAGGCTCAACCAGAGACATCTGAAACAATTTATTTGACAAGAAAAAAGTCTCTCGAAGCAGACAATGTCATTTAAAGTAGGTTAATGATTCATATATATATTGACAAAATACAAGCTTGAAGCGGGGGTGCCTAAAATCATTGAGTTAGGTACCTTATTGAAAGAAAAGAAAGGGGTGACCCCATATAAGAAACAAGTGCTTGTGGTACCTACAAAAGTATCACATAAAATGAAGAACTAATTTCTTGCCATATATGATAAAACCACCATTTGTTGGGCTGTGCCCATTTTGTTTATCAAAGTGACACTATTATTGTGTGGCAGTCAGACGGGTTCCATCGCCAGTGGGTTGGTGTCTTCGGGGGCGAAGACCTTAAGGAGGGAGGAATGAAGCGGTCAGACAGGTTCGATCGCCGGTGACCAAATAGCTCAGTTGGTCTGTTGGTAGAGAAACTGACTAGAGTCGAGATTCAAGGGGCCTGGGTTCGAATCCCGGTCTGGTTCGTCGCATAATTCTCCTCTTCTGTTACACTAGTGAAGACTGAAATCATAGTGAAGGACATCTTTGTCATAGTAAAGATCTCTAAATGAATGATTTAAAAAAAATGTATACTTAAACGTATATAATACTTACCACAATCGATGCAAAACCAACCAGCCTTACCAGGCAGCAAAATCCTGTAAAATATCGGATGTGCAGGTTGGACGGAAAAAAAGAAAGCGGGTGACATGTGGAATTATTTTTTCCGGAATCCTGAACGGTGTAAAAGTAGCTCCAATAGGGTAAAAAGTAAAATGCACGATGATGAGCAGACTCGCAATGAGAAATAATAGGGCATAAAAGAACAACAAGAAGTACCGGGCACAGACTGAAAGCATCTAAGTCAGGGGGAAATTCGCTTGATTAAGAACAAATACCGAGGGGGCGACCATTTGATTCTGAGAGGGGAGGGGGATGGCACTTCTTTAGTCAGATTATTTATTTTCATGCCAGTGCAGGACAGATTCTTCATTTCCAGGATTATAGGGAGAAATTATTTCTTTTCTTTCTCTTTCTTCCTATAGTTCATTGAACTATATATATGCACTTGCAGCCATAAGCTTCAGATCTCTTCTATCGACTGACAATTTTTTTTATGCCCCCAGTTAGTGAGATTAAAGCGAACTAAAGGCCTGTGCTTGCAGCTTTGCAGTACCAGACACAACATATTAATTGATTTTAATATGTCATAGCGTAATAAGCTTGTGCTATCATTGCAAGACATCACATATCACTTCTACTTTCATATTATGCTGATATAGACATTGGTATCTATGGCTAGATTAAAGCTACATTGTAATTCGATTTCTCTAAATATGTATAACTATTAATTTTTACTTTTATGGGGGTACAAATGTCACATTTTACAAGACGGTTTCTAAGACTTCAGAGAATCTTGAATAATATTGAGATGCAGTAAAATGAATATTATTGCACAAAAAGATTTCAATTTCAAGGCTCATTTTGAGATTTTTTAAAATTAAATAATAAACTTGAGAGTTATTTCCTGGCTGAAGATATCCTTAATATGAAATGTGAAGATTACGAACAGTGAGGTAAGCGAACAGTTACGTGCAGAAGCCAACGCGAACCTCTGAATACAGAAGAGAGGAGTAAGCATTCCCTGTCCCTGTCACACCCGCCGTGTGCTCTTTGTCATGATCAAATCCGCAGACAGCTCAGGTTGAAAACAATTTGTATGAAAGACGTCAGCCAAAATTCAACTTAACGACAGTTTTACTTACAAACAAGGTCATAGTATCGACCATAGATTTGCAAAATGCTGATTTTAAAAGAGATTGTTGATATCCTTGTATCATCAACTTATTTGTCAACAGCCTGTTTCGTTTTATAAAGTGATTGAACGTAGACCATGTTCTTGCATATCGAATCAACTGGGAGACAAAAACTCCATATGCAGGTGATAAAAATATATTGCTTCATAAATAAGGGAACCTGACGATAGAAAAGTTGAAGTCATCATGTTTATCATAAAGTTTAGTTGTCAGTTTGCCATCAATATCTTTTGGCTCAAATAAAACATTTAAACAGAAACAGATGTATCAGACTCTGTGGTGTCTTTTATTTCGAGTTCATTGGGATAGATCAAGTTAACGTAGGAATAAAAATGAATACTGTTAGTTAATAAAACGTCATCGATATAGCTAAACGTCCAGTTAAAGGTCATAGCAAGAGATCTCTTCTTTTCATGTAGAAGTTTTTAAAATTACTCTACTTCATATAAATATAAAAATAGGTCTGATAATAACAGGTCACAATTAGAACCCATGGAAATTCCAAAAGATGCTTGGAAGGACTGTCTCCGAAAACTACATAGATATTGTCAATGAGAAACTCATTGATACTTGAAAAGCGTTTTTTATTTTATTTTAATTTATTATTATTATTTTAATACCACCTTCAGAGTACTTGTGTGTAAAATCAGAATGTTTTTTTTTTTTTAATCAAAAAAGTGTTTGTTTTGCAGACCAACGACAACGTATGCACATGGCCGTAGGAACCGGGCCCCATAATAATTTAAAACATAGCTTGTGCCCCCTCAAAAATAACGTCTGATGACCTTTTTTTTTTGGCTTGTCAAGGAATGTTTGGTAGTTGATAGTGCCCCCAACTGAAAAATGTATGATATCCCCCCCCCCCCCCCCCCCCCACTGAAATCTGCAATTGCTTAAAATTCCTACGGGCCTGAAGTAGATTTACGACTTCCATTTTTATTGAAGAAACAGTTGTCAAGGCATGGAACCCCTTCATTTTTTTCTGTTTAAATCTAGGATCCATATTTTTTTTTCTATTCATCTTTTCAAATATATCGATATTGTATCCTTGTTTTTTTTTGGGGGGGGGGGGGTGTAAAAAAATTGCACTGACACACGTTAAAGAACTCTCCGTTAAGGTCGTATTTTTTTTCAACCTTTGTAGAATAGATAAAACATCTAAACATGTGATCTTGGTCATATTTTTTTCTTTTTTATGATTTCATTATACATACTGGTAACTTCTTTGACCGGAAGAAAATTGAAATTCTTGTCTGGACACAGCTTTCAAACAAAGAAACTTTCGAGGCCCATACATTGTACAACTGAAAGGTAGTGCCTAAAGGCTACCTTCACAGTCATTCTGTGCCAAGGACATTTTTGACAAGTCTGAGGCACAGGTGTAAATTAGATTATTGTTCTAGACACAACATTGAAATGAAGAAGCATTAAAATCTGATATGCGAGATTTAGGTTGTTTGTGACTTGAGGGTGTTTGTTGATCTTAGCTAGGCAACTCGTTTGCAAAATTCTTACAATGGACTGGAAAAAAAATCATAGTTAAATACACTAGGCACAAAAGTTGCTTGTGTCAAGATGAATGTAACAACCCTACACCACGGTCATTTGGACGAGGTAAAAGTCAATGTTGTGAAGTGTTCATACTTGTCCATAACATAATTTTTGAAATGACTTTGGAAGATAATACTTGCCCTAAGGGTTAATTCGTACAAAGGTCATTTAGATAAGGTCAAGATCACATATTTCAGATGTGTCAAATTCTGGAGATCTGAGAAATGTAAATTCTAAAAGGCAAAACTTTTATTTAATGAACCATGCATCAGATTGTTTATGACAAAGAGTTCCATCATCATCTTATGCTTTGATTATTTGCATAAGTTCAAGGTGACATGACTCATAAGTTAAATATATTGACACAACACTTTAATTCTTGGCCTGTGGATGGTCATATTTTTTGTACTTAACACTAAGACAGATCACGACCAAAGCATAATATTATAGCAAGATGACCTAATTCTTCAAAGCTATTTTAAAAGCGTGCCTTTCTTGGTTGCTCCAGGAAGGGGGTTCTATTTGGACAATCCTATTTGAAATTGTATACTATTAGGTATAGCATTCTGAGAAATTGTTTACAAACATACTGACACCTTGCCATCACAGATATACTCATGGGTCTTTGACCACTTGAAGTAAAATCCTGTTTCAGATGCACATCAGTAACATGTATGCATCTTCACAAAAGAAAAGAAAACTCTTCCCATGATCTACAAGCCCTTTTCATGATTAAACCACTAGCCAGTATGTTAAATTATATATTACATAACAGGAAATCTATGAACTTAAACATGTATAAAGAAATCCTACAATGTGATCAATAAAATACATATTAGCCAAATATCAAGACTCCAGATAAAATTCACAGGGATGAGAAAGGTAAATACTCTGTCAGAACAAGATGCATAATTAGTGTCCATTTAGAAATTTACCTAAAGAAGTCCAAAGTACAGGTGTGCAAAAAATTTAGATGTTGGG